ATTTCCTGACCTCATGATCTGCCCACCTCGGCCTCCCAAAGTGCTGGGATTACAGGCATGAGCCACCACGCCTGGATCTGTCCATATTTTCTATGACTTCTTGAGTCAGTTTTGATAATTGGTGTACATTTACAAATTTGTCCATTTTGTCCAAGTTGTCTAATTCATTAGCATAAAGTTTTTATAGAATTATCTTGTCATCCTTTTCCTTTCCATAGGGTCAGTGGTCTTGCCTCCTAATTTTGGTGATGTGTCTTCTCTCTTCTTGGTCCATCTAAATATTTGTCAATTGTTTGATCTTTTCAAAGAATCAACTTTGGTTTCACGAATTTTCTTTATTGTTTTTTAAATTTTTCCATTGCAATGATTTCCATTCAAATCTTTATCATTTCCTTACCTCTGCTTGCTTTAAGTGTAGATTGCTACATTTCTACATTTTTTTTTTTTTTTTGAGACGGAGTCTTGCTCTGTTGCCTGGGCTGGAGTGCAGTGGCCGGATCTCAGCTCACTGCAAGCTCCGCCTCCCAGGTTTACGCCATTCTCCTGCCTCAGCCTCCCGTGTATCTGGGATTACAGGCGCCCACCACCTCGCCCGGCTAGTTTTTTGTATTTTTTAGTAGAGACAGGCCAGGATGGTCTCGATCTACTGACCTCGTGATGCTCCCGTCTCGGCCTCCCAAAGTGCTGGGATTACAGGCTTGAGCCACCGCGCCCGGCCCATTTCTACATTTTTAAAGTGGGAGCTTAGATTATCGGTTTCAAATCTTTCTCCGTTTTTCTTTTCTTTCTTTTTGAGACAGAGTCTCGCTCTGTCACCCAGGCTGGAGTGCAGTGGCACAATCTCAGCTCACGGCAACCTCTGCCTCCTGGACTCTAGTGATCCTTCCACTTCAGCATCCCAAGTAGCTGGGACTACAGGCACGTGCCACCACGCCTGGCTAATTTTTGTAGAGACGGGTTTTGCCATTGTTGCCCAGGCTCATCTCCGGCTCCTGAGCTCAAGCAATCTGCCCGCCTTGACCTCCCAAAGGGCTGGGATTACAGGCAGGAGCTACCGTGCCACCCTCTCCTTTTCTAATATAGGCATTTAAAGCTATACATTTCCCTTTAAGCACTGCTTTAGTCGTATTCCATAAATTCCTGTATGTTGTTCTCATTTTCGTGCAGTACTTTCTAATTTCCTTTGTGATTTATTCTTGATTCATGACTTATTTAGAAATGTGTTAAATTCTGGCCGAGCCCGCTGGCTCACGCCTGTAATCCGAGCACTTTGGGAGGCCGAGGCGGGTGGATCACCTGAGGTCAGGAGTTCAAGACCAGCCTGACCAACATGGTGAAACCCCGTCTCTACTAAAACTACAAAAATAAGCCGGGTGTGTTGGCAAGCGCCTGTAATCCCAGTTACTCAGGAGGCTGAGGCAGGAGAATTGCTTGAGCCCAGGAGGCGGAGGTTGCAGTGAGCCGAGATCAGGCCATTACACTCCAGCCTGGCCGACAGAGCGAGACTCTGTCTCAAAAACAAAAAACAAAAAACAAAAAACAAAAACAAAAACAAGAAACCAAACGAAACAAAACAAAAATGTGTTAATTTCTAAATATTTGTGGGTTTCCCCAATTTCATTCTCTTGTCGATGTCTAGTTGTTATAGTAAGAAAATATATTTTGTAGAATTTAAGCCCTTTAAAATTTTTTGAAACACGTTTTATGGTCTAGCATAGATCTATGCCTGGAGTGTGTTCCATATGTATTTGAAAATAATGTGTATTCTGCTGTTGTTGACTGCAGTGTTCTATTGATGTCAGCTAGGTCACATCAGGTTTATGGTGTCCAAGTCTTCTATATCCTTGATGATTTCATTTCCAGTTGTTCTACTGATTCCTGAGAATGGGTTATTGAATTCTCCAACTGCTATTTCTGAATTGTCTATTTTTCCCTTTGTTTCTGTCAGATTTTTGCTCTGTGTGTTTCGAGGCTCCTTTGTTAGAGGTGTGTGTGTATATATATATATACACACCAGGTCCCAAATTGACACCAGGGTCTATGTGGACACTCAGGTCCCAGATAGAAAACAGGCCCAAGGTGGACACTAGACTGGACATCAGTCTAGTGTGTATATATATATATATATATACACACACACACACACACACATAGTTTTATAAATATATATTAAATATATTTTTAAATAAAATAAACATTTATATAAAATTTTATACATTTATATAAAATTTAAAAATATATTTTTGATGAATTGACCATTGTATCATTATAAAATGACTCTTTTGTGTTTAGTAACATTTTCCAACTAAATTTCTATTTTGCCAGAAATCAGTATAGCCACTCCAGCTCATTTATGTTACTCTTTGTATGTTAGATATTTTTCTATCATTTTACTTTCAATGTATTCGTAACTTTGAATCTAAAGTGTGGCTTTTATAGGTAGCATACGGTTGGATCCTCTCTTTATCCTAATTTGAGAGCCTCTGCCTTTTGATTGGACAATTTAGTCAATTTATTTCTGGTATAATTATTGATATGGTTAGATTTACATCTGCCATTTTGAGATGTTCTCCTTAGTTCTTATATCTTTTTTGTTCTCTTTTTTGTTAACTAGATATTTTATTTTATTTTTTATTTTTGAGACAGTGTCTTGCTCTGTAGCCCAGGCTAGAGTTCAGTGGCACTATCATGGCTTACTGCAGTTTCTAATTCCTGGGCTCAAGCGATCTTTTTGCTTCAGCCTCCTGATTAGCTGGGACTACAGGCATGTACCACCACACCTGGCTATTCAATACATAAAGACACCAAGTCTTTATCTATTAAATGCAACATGTGGACATCCTCAGAGACAGTTTCTAGTGGACTGGTACTTTTTTTTTCCTGTGTATGGACCAGAATTCTCTGTGTGTGCAGTTTGTTTTGCATGTCTCATAATTGTTAAAAAGTTGACACTATAGATAATATATTTTAGCAATACTGGATTATGATCCCACCCTCCACAGTTATTATTTTTGCTGTTGTTTTTTGTTTAGGGACTTGTGGGGACTAATTCTGTAGTTTTTTTCTTCCCTCAGTGTGCAGCTACTGATGTCTCTTAGTTTTTTTTTTTTTTTTTTTTTTAGACGGAGTTTCACTCTTGTTGCCCAGGCTGGAGTGCAGTTGTATGATCTCTGCTCACTGCAACCTCCGCTTCCCAGGTTCAAGAGATTCTCCTGCCTCAGCCACCCATGTAGCTAGAATTACAGGCATGTGCCACCACACCTGGCTAATTTTGTGTTTTTAGTAGAGATGGGGTTTTACCATGTTGGCCAGGCTGGTCTCGAACTCCTGATCTCAGGTGATCTGCCTGCCTCAGCCTCCCAAAGTGCTGGGATTACAGGTGTGAGCTGCCACACCTGGCTGGTTAGTTTTTAAATAATTCTTTCTGTTTTTATACCTGGCTTCCTTGGGGTCACCTGTGGGTCTGCATAGCTTATTTTTATCCAATGATTGCTTAAAAGTTGTGGTTATACACCTCAAACCAGTATGGCTTCCACTAAGGGGGTAAATGTGTGAGTTTGAGTACACATATTAAGTTCAGGCTGCTTGTAAGCCTGTGCTGGCATTCATTTCAGCTTGCATAGGGTCTCACATTCATCCAGGGACCTGATATTTTGTGGTCATGTACACAGCCTTCCACATCCTCATGCATATGCGTGGGCTTATCAATTCCCACTATTGCTGTCTTATTTTCCATATCCCCTTAATTTGTTGTCTGGTCTGCTGCTCACCCAAACAATGCTGCAGCCTCAGGCAGTTGTGAGGTTGGCCTTCCCCAGTTACTTGCTACCAACATTGTTGTTGTTTTTGACAATACCCCTAAGCATGGAGCTTTTCTCTGGAGCTCAGAGTCAGGTCAGCTCCCTCCATTTACAGTGAGGCTTCCATTCCTCATGGCTACCATGCCCACAGAGCTAAGGACGGGAGCAGCTCCAAGTAAATGCCACAGACCCCACTATTCTTATCAAGGTTTGGTAGTTTTTCCATCAATAAACACTTTTCAATTTGACACATGCTTTTGGTGAATTGCCAGTGTTCTAAAATGCTCATTTTTGACCATTTAAAAAATGTTTTATAGTTGCTTTTGGGGGAGGGGTTTTGATGAGCTCCTCACCCTACCATTCCAGAAGCTCTACCTCTGGACAAGTGATTGTTTTTTTCTTTTTTAAGAGACTGGGTCTCACTCTGTCACCCAGGCTGGAGTGCAGTGGTGTGGATCATAGCTCCCTGCAGCCTCTAGCTCCTGGGCTCAAGCGATCCTCCCACCCCAGCCTTCTGAGTAGCTGGGACTATAGGCATGCACCACTACCTGGCTAATGTAAAAAAATTTTTTTTAGAGACAGGATCTTGCCATGTTGCCCAGGCTGGTCTTGAACTCCTGGCCTCAAGTGATTCCCCCCTCATCAGCCCTGCAAAACACTGGGATTACAGGCATAAGCCACCATGTCTGGCCTGGACAAGTGACTTTTGACAAAAGTCAAAATATTGAGAAAGGGTATTTTTAAACAAATGGTGTGGAAACATTTGAATATCAATAAGCAAAAACAAAACAAAAACAAAAAAGAGCTTGGATCCATATTTCACACCATATAACTCAAAATAGATGCCAGACCTGGATGTAAAACTTAAAACCTTTGGAAGAAAACACAGGAAAAAAATCACTGTAATCTTTGGTTAGGCAAGGATTTCTTAGATACAGCACTCAAAGCACAACCCAGAAGTGAACAAATGGAAAGACTGGACTTCATCAAAATGAGCAGTTGTGTTCTTCAAAAGACACTCTTCAGAGAATGAAAAGACAATCCAGAGACCGGGAGAAAACCTTTGCAAGGATAATGGACTGATAATGAAGTTATACCCAGAATATATTTTTAAAAACTCTCAGTGTTCAACAGTAAAAAAAACAACCCGGTTGATAATGGGCAAAAGATTTGAACAGACACTTCATCAAAGATTCTCAATAAAAGATGATCAATATTATTAATCATTAGGGCAATGTAAATTAATAATCACAATATCACTTCACATGTACTAGGATAGCTATAATAAAAAAGACTGATAATAATAAAAGTTGGTAAGGATGTGAAGAAACCGGAACCCTCATACATTGATAGAATGTAAAATGGTACAGTCATGTGAGGAACAGGCCTAGGTCTCAGGTCTCAGCCATCACTCATCTAACCTGGGGAGATACTACAATGGTTTGGAGGACAAGAAAATAAAAACGAAAATCTGTTTGGAGGACAAGAAAAAAAAAAACGAAAAACGAAAACTGACATATCACTATATGCCCACCACTAATAGCTATAGTAAAAAAGATGGAAAATGCCAAATGTTGGCAAGTATGTGGAGCACTAGAACTTGCATACTGTGTTGCTGGGAGTGTACATTGGTACAACCACTTGAAAACTGGTTTTATAACATATAGCTGAACATATGGATACACTTAGGTACATACCTAACAGAAATACACACATATGTTCACCAATACACAGCAGCACAATTCCTAATAGCCCATGCTGCAAACAACCCAAATGTCTACAAACAGTAGAATGGATAAATTATATTGCAGCATATTCACAGAATGGGATACAACATGACAATGAGAATGAATTATCTACAACTATATGCAACATATGGATGACTCTCACATACATAATGTGAATGACAGAAGACAGATGCCAAAGAGTATATTGCTCAATTATATGATATATAATTGTTTGGCTCAATTTATATAAAATACAAAACAGGCAAAATGAATCTACGCTGTGAGAAGCCACGGTAGTGTATACCCTTGGGGGCTTGCCCGGAAGGGAAAGTGGGGAAGGCTTCTGGGGTGTGGTCATGTTCTGTTTCTTGACCTGAGTATGTTCATTTTTGAGAATGCATTGAGCTGTATGTTTATGATATATGCATTTTCTATATACAGTTTAATAAAAATATTTTAAAATAAAATAAAAATACAATTGCATGCTAGAAAGAAAGTTCCTTTTTATGAGTGTTGTAAAAAAAATTTAAGGGAAAATGAGAAAGTGTCTATATATCAGTGTTAAAAAAGAGCAGTGATCTTTCTTGAGAAGTCTTCCAGTTATTCAACTATGATAAACTGTAATTATGTTTTAGAATAACTAATTGCAATGCAACATGACTTTATCCCATAGCAGTCTACACAAAACTACCCTTAATGTGCATGTAGGAAATGAAATGAATATACCTTAACCAAATAGGAAGAAAAACAAAATATTAGGAAGTGAAACCTAATTTTTCAACCATTCTTTTTCAAACAGGAATCCCAAGGAAAGCAGGGGTGTTGGTGGGTGAGCCTGAAAATCTAGAGCGCTGTGGATCAGTTCCATTGTTGTAGGGTCAGTTACTGAGGGGATAAGGAATCTATGGCCTGCAGCTTATGCAAATGACAGCTTTGGGGAAACAGGTTAGAAGGCATGCATACCTCTTATAGGGTATGACTCACCTGCTCTCCCAGCAGGGGATTAATAATGAGACAACTACTACCTTTATATGTCTGTATCATTCAATGACTATGTTTCTGTAACACAGGCTAGAGCTAGGCCTAATTTCCCAATTCATAAAGTTATACCTTTAAATTTAAAAATTCTGTTGCACTTAAAATACATATACCATGAGGACTTCCCAAGGGAAGGGAAAAAACAGTTTTTCATGGGAATCTTTTCTGTGACTGAAGTGCCAATGATCACAAAAACAGATATCTGCATTCCCAAGTAGATTTCCTGCCTTGATGTCAGTGCCCTGCCAGTGTTTGGACAATGAAAACTCTTCTCCCCAACCTAGAAATTTGAAAAAGTGTTTCCCAGTAGTGAGTACTTTTATGTCCCCGGATATGCTGAACTAATCAGTACTGAATTTAAAAAGTTCTTTATCCAAAAAGTGAAGCATAGGAGATGACAAGTCATCTCCTCGGGTCTTAATTCTACTATTTCCAGAAGCTCAAGAGGTCTGTATGAATCATGTCACCAAACATGACTATCGCTCAAATGCTTTCTATAAAGGTTCTTCCTATGCGTTGAATTGCATATACACTGTGGTGATGCAGGAACTTGTCTTTCCAGTGGACTGAAGGATACTTGGCTCTGTTTGCCTTCAGTTCACTCAAGCCTCAGTCTCTCATATCCATTTCCCCCTGCACAACAATTGCAGCATCAGGCCTTCCTCGTCCCTACTATTAGATACCTGATGCATACCCAGTTGTGATTTCCAGGTGAAAATTTTCTCAGTCACTGGCTTTATAGCGTTTTTCTCCACTATGCGTTTTCTGGTGTTTAATGAGATTCGATCTGTCGGTAAAGGCCTTCTGACATTCTGTACAAGCATAAGGTTTCTTTCCTGTATGAATTATCTGATGCATACTTAGTGTGGCTTTCTGGATGAAAGCTTTCCCACATTTACTACATTCATAGTGTCTTTCTCCAGTATGAGACTTCTGATGTATATTGAGGCGTGACTTCCAGGTGAAGGTTTTCCCGCAGTCACCACATTTATAGGGTTTCTCCCTAGTGTGGATTTTCTGATGCGTTATAAGATTTGATCGGTCAGTGAAGGCCTTCCCACATTCAGCACATATATTGGGCTTCTCACCTGTGTGGATTTTCTGATGCACACGGAGTTGTGACTTCTTAGTGAAGCATTTCCCACAGTCGCTGCATTCATAAGGCTTCTCTCCAGTATGGATTCTATGATGCGCAATGAAGTGTGATTTCTGGATAAAGGCCTTCCCGCATTCAGGACAAACGTAGGGTTTCTCTCCTGTATGGATTCTCTGATGCACCCTTAGTGTTGATTTCTGGATAAAGGCTTTCCCGCAGTCCTTGCATTCATAGTGTCTCTCTCCAATATGAGATTTCTGATGTATTTTGAGGCGTGACTTCCATATGAAGGCTTTTCCACAGCCATTGCACTTATAGGGTTTCTCTCCAGTGTGAGTTTTCTGGTGTTTAATGAGATTTGACTGGTCAGTAAAAGCCTTTCCACATTCAGCACACATATAGGGTTTCTCCCCAGTATGAGTTTTCTGATGTGTGGTGAGGTTTGTCCTGTGAGTGAAGACCTTTCCACATTCTGTACATATATAGGGTTTCTCTCCGGTGTGAATTCTTTGATGCACATGGAGTTGTGACTTCTTAGTGAAGGATTTCCTGCAGTCGCTGCATTCATACGGCTTTTCTCCAGTGTGAATTCTCTGATGTGTGTTGAAATGTGATTTCTGGATGAAGGCCTTCCCACAGTCAGCGCATACATAAGGTTTCTCTCCTGTGTGGATTCTCTGATGCATCCTGAGTGCTGATTTTCTTGTGAAAGCCTTCCCACATTCATTGCATTCATAGTGTTTCTCTCCGGTATGAGTTTTCTGATGTATACTGAGGTCTGAGTTCTGGGAGAAGCCTTTTCCACATTCACTGCATTCATAAGGTTTTTCTCCTGTATGAATTCTCAGATGTCTAAAGAGGTCTGATCTCTGGATAAAGGCTTTTCCACATTCACTGCATTTGTAGGGTTTCTGGCCGGTATGAATTTTTTGATGTGTAACGAGGCTTGATTTGAAGGTAAAGACTTTTCCACATTGAGTACACAGATAGGGTTTTTCTGCTGTATAAACACTCAGATGTGCATCAACCTGGGGTTTCTGGGGGAAGACTTTGTTGCTCTTGTCACATTCACGGGACTTTTCTCCAGCATGAATTCTCTGATGCTCAAACAGATGTGACTTCTGAGTGAAGCCTGTTACACATTCAGTACACACATAAAGCTTCTCCTCAGGATGAATTTTCTGATGGTGGGTGAGAGCTTGTTTGTGGCTGAGATGTTTTTCACAGTGATCATGTTCACAGGAATTTGCTCCTGTCTTAGCATTCTCATTCTTAGTAGAGGAAGGGCTATGGGGGAAATTGTTACCATTTCCAAAAATCTTGCCAAGGTTCTTTGTTGCACTGTTTCTACTATGATTATGTAAGTTTAAAGTATGCTTCAAAATTGTGTCACAGTTACGGAGTCTTTTAATTGAAGGAACAAACTTGGTAGTCACATGAATTATTTTTTCAATGTTTTTATGTTCATAGCCCCTCTCCTTAAACAATACTTTCACATGACTTAAAAGGTTATTCTGGTTTTCCTGACATTGCTCTAACTGGTCATTATCTTGCCACAGTGCTTCTAAAATAGAACACAATGAATCTTCTCCTATGGGTTGATCAAATCTCTCACAGTGGAAGAAAATTTCTCCAGGAATTGCCTGTTGCTGCATTTTCTCAATAGCCTCACCTAAAAAGAAAAAGAAATGAAAATGACACAAAGAACAATTAGCAGAGGCTACAGGGGACATGTAGTTCAGACAAGATGAACACAGATAAATGGAAGAGCCCACAGAACAATATAGTAGCAATCATGTAGCAACACAACATTTTTATAGAACACTTAATAAATGCAAAACAACTATATACCATTTATGATGTACAGGGACTGTTACAAGTACTTTACATGAAACAGCTCATTTAATCCTCACTAAACCCTATGAGGTAGCTACGATTATCAATTGTTTTACAATTGAGAAAACAGGCACAGAGAAGTCATGCAACTTGCTGAATATCGAATAGCTAAATAAGTGGGAGAGATGGGATTTGAACCCTCGGAGTCCAGCTCCACTATGTAAGAGGCCTAGATTGTGAGTAGAGTAACCAGAAGAAACTGCAGCCTGTGAAGGGGAAGCCTGGCATGGAAGAAATATTTCAGAAGGTATGTTCTTAATACCTATCAGCTTCACCACTTTACTAAACTCCCTGCTTCTTCTTCCTTTTCCCTCTATACCATTATGAGTGGAGCTCTTCAAATTTAATGTGAATTTGAACATTAAATCTATATGCCTCAAACACCAATTTCTTTATATCTATAGGAAAACCAGTTGCAACACGCCATCCTGACACAGACAAACAGTAAATAGATATCTGCACTCCAACTCTATGACCAGCTGCAAGTTTCTTTTTTTCTTTTTTTGTTTTTTGAACTGGAGTCTCGCTCTGCAGTCCAGGCTGGAGTGCAGTGGTGCAATCTTGGTTCACTGCAACCTCCGCCTCCCGGGTTCAAGCGGTTCTCCTGCCTCAGCCTCCTGAGTAGCTGGGATTACAGGCGCCTGCCACCACACCCAGCTAATTTTTGTAGTTTTAGTAGAGACGGGGTTTCACAATGTTGGCCAGGCTGGTCTTGAACTCCTGACCTCAAGTGATCTGCCCACCTCGGGCTCCCAAAGTGCTGGGATTACAGGCGTGAGTCACTGCGCCGGCCCCAGGTGCAAGTTTCTATTGGTTCCAGGAATACATGCTTATAGCAAGAAGTATAAAAGAGGAAAGGAAAAGCTATCTGTGGCAGAATCTGCAGGCCCTCCCCTGAGATCTATTCTCCCCATCTTTCACAGGAATAGAATGTGGCTGGGACTTACATCCACTGGCCTCACTGTGTTCTCACCAGTAGAATACGAGCAGAAGTGATATATGCTACTTGCAGGCCAGCCTTAAGACAGTGGGCAAATCTCCTCTATTTCCTCTTCCCTCTTCCCACTGGACTCCACAGTGACCCATCATTAACCAGGTAGGTGACAATGATGCCCCAGGAGATGCCAGAGGAGTGACTTAGAACATGGTCCCTGAATGACCCGTCAGGATTAGAGTTGACTTATTGAACTGGACCCATTCACCTCAGAATTTTCATGTAGGGGAAGATATACATCTATATTTAGCCTCTTGTTTTGTTCCTCCATGCATATCCAAAACGTATTGTCTTTCTAAATATTAGTTCTAATTTTGGTATACTTCTAGGGTGCTTATGTTTGCTATGAATTTGTAAAGCAGACACTGTACCATTCATATTGATACTCAGTTTGGCACAGTTTTATAACAGAAAGGACAAATACACAAAGGGTGAGAGTGTTAACATTTCATGCAGTCATCTTCCCTTTCCAAATATAATGTATGTTCCTTTGAATTCCTCTGAGCAGACACTTGAAAATTTCATCTGAAAGAGAAAAAATCTCCTCCTCTGCCTCTATCCCCAAATTCAATAAATTCATTTACTAAATATTTTCTACATGCTCCACTTCAGAAAAGTGAAGAGTAAGTGTGCTGGTTATCAATGTTTTGCCTCTCAGTTCCAAATTCACTCTTCCTTGCCTGCTCAACAAAAACGGATCTGGCCCCATTTACCCTGATGTGATTATTACACATTGTATACCTGTATCAAAATATCCCATGCAGGCTGGGTGTGGTGGCTCTTGTCTGTAATCCTCAGCACTTTGGGAGGCCGAGGTGGGTAGATCACTTGAGGCCAGGAGTTTGAGACATGGAAAAACCCCATCTCTACTAAAGATAGAAAAATTAGCTGGGCATGGTGGTATATGCCTGTAATTCCAGCACTTTGGGAGGCTGAGGTGGGCGGATCACCTGAGGTCAGGAGTTTGAGACCAGCCTGGCCAACATGGCAAAACCCCGTCTCTACTGAAAATACAAAAATTAGCCAGGCATGGTGGCATGCACCTGTAATCCCAGCTACTCAGGAGGCTGAGGCAGGAGAATTGCTTGAACCCGGGAGATGGAGGTTGCAGTGAGCTGAGATTGCACCACTGCACTCCAGCCCGGGTGACAGAGTGAGACTTCTCAAAAATAAAAAACTCTAAAACCCCCAAATATCCCATGTACCCCATAAATATATATACCTATGTACCCATAAAAATTAAAAATTTAAAAAGTGGATCTCAGTCTCTTTAAATATTTTTTCTTCTGCCAGCTGGCATGATATTAAACTTTGTCAGTGTAAGATGCTAGAGAGACACTGCAGGAGGAGGGGGGCTTGCTTCCTGGTTCTAAGGTGCTCACTCAACAGGCTCATCCAGCAGGGGCAGCCTGTCCAGCACCAGGCTCACGTAGTGTGGGCATCTTTGCCAACACTTGGCTCCTGATGCACATGTAGTGTCCCCAGTACCCAGAGCTCATGGTCTTCTCTAGAGCTCAGCTCCTGCAGTGTGGGTGACTTCTCCAGCACCCAGCTCCTGCAGCTCATATGGATTCCCAAGCACCTAGTTCCTGCAGGCCCCCGCAGCACTGTACAGTCAGCAGCACCCAACACCCCCTAGTTTACTCTCAGATGATTTGTAGTGGAATAGCTCCAGTGAGTCACCTCTGTATCAACAGTTTTCTTGGGAATCCTAGAGGGCAGGTTTCCAGCAAGTTCCACCAGGACAGCACCATAGCAAGTATTCTACCTGCCTCAAGCCATGGTTGTGCCCTCCCTACAAGGTCTGAATCTCATCCCTGGGAAGTAGGGAGCCTCTTCCTTGGGTACTCGCTCACAACCCTAGAAGAACCTGCTGTGCTTTCTATCTGCTATTCCTTTATTCTTCAGAGTTTCTTTTTTTGCTAGCAAATCCCTCATTATTCCAGTCCCACGGCTCACTACAACCTCGACCTCCTGGGTTCAAGTGATTCTCCTGCTTCAGCCACCCGAGTAACTGGGATTACAGGCACGGGCCACCACACCCAGCTAATTTTTGTATTTTTAGTAGAGATGGGGTTTCACCATGTTGGCCAGGCTGGTCTGCAACTCTCGACCTCAGGTGATCCACCTGCCTTGTCCTCCCAAAGTGCTGGGATTATAGGTGTGAGCCACCATGCCCGGCTGCAAAGAATCTTTATGTTAACCACTCTCTGTTCCCATTAGTCTGTGGTTTCTCCCTTGGTAAGACCCTGAGTTATACTATAAGAAATAGGCTCTTCATGTATGCATATTTCAAAACATCATGTTGCACTATATAAATACATACAATTCTTTTTTGTCAAATTAATAGATTTTTCTATAAAAAGAAACAGGCTCTTTTTTCTTAAAATTTTTTTTTGAAATAGAAATGGAACCTTGTTGTGTTGCCCAGGCTAGTCTTGAACTCCTGGCCTCAAGTGATCCTCCTGCCTCAGCCTCCCAAAGTTCTGGGTTTACAGACGTGAGCTACCACACTCAGCCTGAAATAGGCTCTTAATTCCAGAGACTTTCTGAAAACATAGAGGTAAAAGCCTCAGTTACCCTATATGCTAAAATCCTGTGATTTTCTCAGAATTCTTGTGCGATGGAGGATGAGAAAAAGGAAAGAGCCATATAGGCTGGAATAATTAAGAGCCATTTTGTGAGACAGGTGAGAACTGATCACAAGGTGGAAAATGTCTCATCTGAATAGAGCACAGAATAAACAGTCAGATTCAGGGAGGACTATCAGATATGGTCAACGTTAACAAATATTAAAAATGGAGTTGAGCAGAGGTTACAGAAAATATACAGATATGAGTTGAATTGGAAATATGTGGCCATGTTTTTTATCTCCTTGAAAGAAGAGTTTAATTGTTATATACTAGGTAATGGAGAACAATTGTAGGTTTGTTTCATAATGCTCATGACAAGAGAAATAGAATGTTTTAGGTAAAGATATCTGTCATTAGCATTTAATATGAAGTAGTAAAAACAATGGAATCAGCAAATCAAATCAGGAATAGAATAATTGCAATTCAGGCAGCAGAAAATATGGAGCTGGCTGGGCGCAGTGGGTCACACCTATAATCCCAGCACTTTGGGAGGCCAAGGCAGGCAGAAACACCGAGGAAGCCAGAACCCTTGTACAGTGCAGCTAATCTGAGAATAATATGGTGGTACTCAGTCCTATTCTGGATGAGATACTCCATGATTAGGCGCAAATCCTCTCTTCTCTACTCATCCCTGAGAAATTCTCACACCCTGTAAGGAAATGTTTATGTAGAAGTTGATTGCAGAATTGTTTGTATTAGATGGGACTTGGACACAACGCCCAGCATCCATGACTAGGTGAGTGGTTAAGTATGATGTGGTGCTGGGGACATTGTGAAATACTATGTAGCAATTTAAAGAATAAAGTCAGACAAACACACTAAAATATGGAGAGACCATAGGAATGAGTGGGAAAAAAAAGGAACAGAATTGAGAAACATAGTATAATGTGTTTTATATATACTAAAAATACATACTCATAAACCAATACTTCAGGCTTTAAGAGAATATCACACAATTTCAAGGTTCAAACACATTAGACCAGCTGCTCATAGGAGGAGGCATAAAGAATGGATATGGAGAATTGGAATAAAAGAAAAGACCTGGCTGGGCGTGGTGGTTCATGCCTGTAATCCCAGCACTTTGGGAGGCTGAGGTGGGCAGATCACCTGAGGTTGGGAGTTCGAGACCAGCCTGACCAACATGGAGAA